GGGCCAAATTCTGCCCTGTGAAATCTTAATGAATGCACTTGAATTTGGCCCAGCAAGAGGAGAATTTGCCACAACTCTATTTAATCTGAAAAATAGGCAGATTATGTATTCTGGAGAAAAGAGGAGTATATCTTCACTGAAAACTAACTCCACCATAAAGTATGTGGACCTAATTTGCATAAGTGCAGCTGAGAACAGAATGCAACACTGTAATTCCAATTCCAATGACAACTTCTCTATTGCCAATGCTTTCAAGCCATTTGAATCATCTGAGAATCATCCCTGGGATATTTTAGCCCAGCCTCTGACATAGTTGTCCTCAAAATAATATGGCAGCAAATGAAAGAGGATTTCTATTATTTGATAAACCCCTCTCCTCTACACAGCATTTTCCAGTTTCTGAGGTTTTTCTTGAAACTGTGAAACAAATATTGGCTATTAAAAGACCCCTAAACCATCCAATCACACTTAGTATTTGCAAACACACTACAGTCAGGTTATGAGGCATATAGACAATGAGAATCCTTCCTTTTAGTTATCCCAGTGTTGAGAATTATCCAGAGTTCTTCTGGGCCCCTTAGCACTTCTCAAATTTTAGCCCTGAAGTCTTTGAGTAAGAAGATGCAGCCTGCCATCATTCTAATTAGAGTGGAATATAGGAATGTTTGCTTCACCTTCCGCATCCAGCCTTTAATCCAGGGCTCTTCCCAGTGGCCCAGGAGGTGTAGTCCCTCAGTGTGAAAACTTAATGAAGAAAGCAAGAGTCTTTTTCCTTTGGAGGCCAGGACTCAAGTCCACCTGACTGGCCAAATGAATTTGTGGTCTCATTTCAGTCCCTCGTGTAAAATAATCCACATCACAACGCCCCCCGCCCCTGCATAATTTAAGAAGGATGAAAGTTTGGCAGAAGACAGAACTAAGGTGAAAAGGAAACCAAGTAACCCCTCGGCCCAAAAGACAGTTATGTGCCTCATAGATGTGGGGCAGCGTGAGGAGGGTGAATTGTGTCTGCTTATAACAAAAGCAGCCAGTACACAACTAAATGGCCTTACTTTCCAATAGTGCTTCGAAGCTGAACTTTCCTCAGTACAGAAAGTCAGCAGAACGTGAACATTAATTAAAAAAAAAAGGAGAGAGAGAGAGAGATTGAGAGAGAGAAAGGACCAGATGGTACTTTGTTTCCTTCCCATCCTGGGAATAGGACTAGCAGGCCCAGCCCCTTGAATGCCAGCACAGTCAGAATGTCTCAGTCCCAGCACAGTCCCAGTCAAGTGCCTTAGCCACAAAAACATCCTTCCTCTCATGGGCTTATTGCAGCTAGACAGTTTCAAATTAGGAAGTTCCTGAATCAGGCAACAGAGTTTCCTTAATTTTATTTGAGAGGTGGCAGCCATACAGTATATCTGTGCTTTTCCAAGACAAGTTCAGTTTTGCTATCCCTATAGTTTCAGCTGCATAAGGTGTTCACTTGCTTTCCCAGCCTTCTCTGTTTTGCTGTTGTGCATTCTATTGAGTTTCAGTCCTGAGACAGCTGTATTTCAGTCAACGAAACACAGTGGATGGGCAACATGATTCTTTTATATATGGTTTATAAAGTGCATTCGGATCCTTCTGGAAGAAAGGCACTGTCCAAACATAAATGGTCACTATTATTATTATTATTGTTTTCAGTGTTGCTTTAGCCGTGTTGGTCCCAGGATGTGAGAGAGACAAGGTAGTAAGTAAGGTATTATCTTTTGTTGGACCAACTTCTGCTGGTGGAAGGTCCAAGTTTTTGAACTACACAGAGTTCTTCTTCAGGGCTGGTTATATCTTACTGTGTTGACCAATATTGCTTTAGCAAAGAGGCACTGGGATCATTGGCACCTGGCCTAAAAATATATGCCACCTTTGCTATGCGACCTATGCTCCTCCAGAGAGATAGGCTCATGCTCTCACAGCTTCACAAGCTGTAGATTCATAGTTGAATATTTCTGTGCCCAGAGCAAAGTTTTGCAGTTTTAAATTGTAGAACGCTAATTTCATGTTCCCAACAAACATTCAGTGGCACAAAGGACCACAGGAGCCTCCAAAAGAGTATTTCAGTGGGGACTTCTCAGTCAATGCTTTATTTAAAAAAAAATACTGCTTACCATAGGACACAATAGCAGTTCAAGTGCTTGAACTGAAATATCCTTGTGAAGTCCTCATGATAGAAACTGATATGTGCTGCAATGGATAATGGATGAGTTTTCTTGGACAGCTGATACATGGAACAGACCGTCCCTAATTTATTTATTATGATAGTGTGCAATGGTGGGTGACTTAAAAACAAAAGGGATGGGGGAGACTTTTTCCCCTATGTAGATGAAGACACAAGTTCTGTTATTTATGATGATTTTATTATAGTAGAGCCTAGAATTCTCAACCAAGATCAGGGCCCAGTTGTCCTAGGCACTGTACAAGTATACAATGACAGACAGTCCCAACCCCCAAGAGCTTATAGTCTACATAAACAGGACGGGTCTGAGCATAGGAAAAGTGACTTGCCCAAGGTCACACAACAGGTCATTAGCGGAGCCATGAATAGAGAAGTCTCCCAACTCCCAGTCCAGCCTGGTCCACTGCCCCACACTGTACTGTAGACTTAATATAGCTAATAGTATTGCCTCATGCATGTAACATGGAGGGGGAAATAACACCAAATCTTCCAATATATCCAATCTCTGAGACCTATAGAACTGGTGTTGCATTGCCTGATCTGGTGAATTAAAACAAACAGAAAACTGGCCCCAAATGGGATTCTGCGGTTTGGGCATTTTGCAGAATTTTATTTGGTAGACTTTTTTTACAACGGCATAAAGATGATGGGAAAAACTTGGTGGTGCTGTTGTTCTGCTTTTCTATGCAAAACCTAGTTTTGTGTTCAGAATAAACAAAGCAGCACAGCCCAATTATGCAAACCTTCCTCAAGTTTAAAAAGAATGTATTACAGAAGAGAAATGGACCTTTTCACGAAACTGCACTAGCCCCTTTGATCTAGTTGAGATGACATTAAAGAGCATATTGTTCAGATATAATTTCACTGGTTCCTGGATAGGTCATCTGACTGGAAGATGAAATTTTTAAAAGCTTTTCTCCTCCTGCTATTCATATCATTGCAGGTCACATTTCCCTAGAGGTTAACTCTGTTGGCTCAAGGACACAGGCGTGCAGTAGAATGAGGGGTGTGCAGAGGGAATGAAGAGGCAGTTGCCCCTTGACATATTAAATTGTTAAAAGATCTAGAATCCACTTTGGAAAGATGGTCTGAGGCAATATCTATCCCAGTGCTAAAATAACTCCATGACGTGAGCTGATTTCAAAAAGTGGCTGTTAGATACAGGGCATTCTTTTGCATGCAGTAATACAGATAATTAATATAGAATAGGAGTCAGTAAAAGTAAGCCATAGTGGAAGGAATATTTTTGTAAATACTACATGACTTTGCAAAAAATACTTTTAAAAATTAAAAACATCCATGGAGGGCTGGATTCTGCTCCCATTCCATTCCATCTCAAAGCTCCCACTGATTTACTGGGAGCAGCATTAGGCACTAGTTATCTTCTTTTGCTGTAGCTTCTGCTGAAGAATCTTACAAAGTATGGGCTTTCCCTTACCCCATTGACCGGGGTAAGTCTGTCCGCCTGTAGAAAGGACCTTTTGTCACAGCGTCAGGATTTCAGGGGCATATTAGCTGATCTGTGGCTTTTTACTTGTGGCTTTGCTCTGAGCCATCATTTTTAACTGATATTCCCACCCTGCGTGCCTTGGCTTCAGCTGGGATTGTAGACTGCGCCATGCTAGTTAGAGGGGCAGTAGTGTTCCCTGTGAGACTCCACTGCCTCCCTCACCAGAGAGGAAAGAGTCCAGTTCATAATACGCCCTCCATGTGGAAGCTGAGAACAGTTCCTCAATGCTCCCAGCCTCAGGTTGCTTCCCTACTCAGTAATTAAGCAGCAGTATCCATTAAACCACACCATGTGCCCCCTTGTTAGAGTTACTTGTCTTACTATGTACTTCTAAGTTATTTATATTTCCAGCAGCTATAATTGAGGAGTCTCTTTCGAGCTAGAAGCAGAGATCTGGAGAGCTATTTTACACACCTCATTATAGATTACTTCCCCTCCCTTCCCCTGCTAAATCATTAAGGGCTAATCCTGAGAACCAGCTGGGAGGTGCTGAGCACCCTGAACTCTCATCACTTGTCTTCACTGGTGGTTTTTTTACCCTGCGATAATGGATTGCCAGTTAACTCAAGGTCATTCACGCCTTTGCAAAGTCTAGTCTGGACACTCCCCAAATGAAACAGTCAGGCAGGTGGATGGAATTTGAGGGCGCTTATTTCATCACAGCCCCAATCCAGCAAAGCACTTAAGCATGTGCTTAAATCCCATTGAAATCAAGTTTAGTATATTCAAGTCCAGCACATATTTAGGTGCTTTGCTTAGTAGGGACCTCGACTCCTTGCAGAATCTGGTCCTAAATGTGTTCTATTTCTCTTTAATTTGGGAGTAAACCCTGCTCACCTTGCTGTTGTGAGTAATCCCATGGGCATGAATGGTGGTTTTGCTCAAAGATGGTGAACAAGATTTGTCCCTCTCTTGGGCATTTAGTCTCAACATTTAGAATGTAATTTTAAGCCTGAATTTCATTCGGTATCAACAGATGAGCAGTACCAGCTTTTATAAGAGCTTTACATAGTGGGAGGAGTGATAAAGTCCAGCAAACCTTACTCTTACGTTTGCAGGAATTGGACAGGAATATTATATGTATTAGTGCTAGGTTTCTGCTGCCAGCATGAACAGCACTTCCCGTGATGTATGGTCCTAGCAAATGTACTGTAATACATGCATCAAATACGCTCTCAGAGTAAATAGATATTGTCTAAAGTACATTACCTCTGTGCTTTCGTGTTTAATTTAATGTAAGTGAATGGCCTTAATTTCTCTAAATTGTAATAATAATCATAATGCGAACAGTGACATTACTAATAATTTATTTTGCACATCATTAATCAACAATGAAACATTTTAATTACCTGTTCAGAAATGTCACACTGTAAATTAATTCCATGTAATTATATATCTGAATTCCATGGCTAATTAAAACGAATAAACAATCACAGTCAATGGATCAGTACATTTGTAAGGGGATCTGCTCTTGCCCTGCTCTTCAGGATAGTTATGCGGGTTATACACAGCACAAGAAGAATTAGACTCTATTGCTTTGCCTGAGTCACTTGTATTCCTTAAACAGTGTGTTACTAGGTTAAAGTAGCAAATTGCATGGCCCATGGGGTACAAAGAGAATTGCATATGCACAAGTCTGTAACTAATGTGAAGTTGGGTGTAGATCTTTGATGACTGTTTCTCTTTCAAAGTGCTAAACACAAATAATTTTGCCTTTTAAAGTGTCTGTCATGCAGGCACCTCAGGGCACATTGGAAATAACACAAACATGAAATAGAACAAAATCAGAAACAGACAATAACACTTTCACAGTAATTAGGTCAATTGCTTTTTGGGGACAAGTGCATCAAATTACCAGCCTGAGTGACAGCTCAGATTTTCATGGCAGTATTTAGCTGCAGTATTCTGCTTTCCTTTTAGGTCGTCTCTTCCACTGACGTGACTTTTAAGAAGAGCATGAGATTAAGATCAGTCAGTGTGCGATGAATTTTGCCTCATGTGGGCCAGCTTGTGTCCACCGTTAAGAGTTGATGTAAAAAGCTGCCCAATGGAAGCAATTTGTAGTGTATTGGTCCTATAAAGCCCAGAAACTATGCTAGGTATTCTTGCATCTTATCTATTACCAAGCTATTTACATATGTACAAACATCGGACACTCTCGTTAACACCTGCTGCCTTCCATTCAAATGTTGCGCTATTGAGGCTTGAAGGTGGTGAGTGATAAAACTCCATTTGCAGCTGAAATGATCGTGAGCGGTGGATTTGCACTGAGGCCCAGTCCTTTGGCTCCAGTCACTGAAGTCTGGTCCTGGAACATGTATCAGTGGTTTTGATACCTGCAGCAGATCATTCCTTTAACTGGAGTTTATAAAGAAACAAAAGTTAGCCTTGTTGGTGGGTGGGGAATTGCAGGGGAGTGAGTTCCTAATTGAAGGGTCGAAAGTGCGGCAGACCTAATGGTTTATAGAAGCAGCTTTGAGAACAGGATGATAAATGAGAGCAATGTCATGATGAGTACAGCAACTAAGTAACGAGACCTTTATTTGATACATAAGACCGCAGGGAGCTTCTGTGCAGAGAATACAAAGAATAGGGCTAAGTTTTGCAGATTTTGGAAGGCATTAGTAAGGGGGAAAGGAATGCTGACACTGCAGTCAAATGCATGGATCAGGATTTTAGTATTTTTCAAAGTAAGCATGGGACATAGTAATTTGCTCATATATTTTCAGATGGCGGACAGGTATCCTGACTTTTGATTTACTATGCTATGTTGCTGTAGGGAATGTTCTGGGTTTAAAATGAGGTGTCCAGAGCCCTGATTTGATCACCTGATCGCTGAGTTCCAGCAGGGAGACGAGGAAGTCATTGTACACATAACAAGAACCTCCAGCCAAAAATTTCCTCTGTTTTCAATTGAACTGGAAGAAGCTGCTGATAGGTTAGGGCGGGATGTCAGAAACACAGCAGTTAACAGTAAAGATGAATGAGAGATTGAGAGGTGATAACTTAGAAAAATCAGTGTGTCATCCATATTAAAGAGACAGCTTTCCGTGTGTTACTGCTGGACAACACGAGTGGTGGTTCATATATGTATACTAAACTACATTGGTCCTAAAGATAAATCCCCAAGAACCATAAGAAGTAAGTCCAGAAACCCTTAGTAAAATCTGATGCACATTGTATAATCTGTCACTGTACACTATGTTCTCCATATAACTTCTTAAATTTGTGAGACAATTATAGAGAAAATGATACTGCAATCTGTAAAGCAGTTTCTGTAGTGGTTTTATTCGCAAGCTCAATGCTATGCATAATCATTGCCAGAAACCTCTCCAGAGGTGTGTGCATAATAGAGGAATATCAAGTCAATGAGTCAAGACACCAAAAAATAAAATTCAGATGAACATCACATTCAAAAAATTATATAATCTGTCATTTAATGCTATCTTAAATCCTCCTTATTGAAATAATACATCTGATCATAAAGCAACCTGGGGCATCAATACCATATTGCACTGCATTCAGAATACATGAAGAGTCACAACATTCTGCAACTATAGTTTGCTGCCAAAGGATGATGGTAACTAACTTTTTAAATCTTGCAATGATCTTAAAATGGAATTCCACAATGCACATGAATTGTTCATAGCTGGAAAATGCAGAGATCTGGTAGGGATGTATAGAACCTTTTGTCTTATGTTCCCTGTTCAAATCCAACCTGGGTTGGTAGTCACCTTACAGCATTATCAACTGATGACTTATGTGAAATAAGTTGTTTCTTAATTATTTTAATGTTATTCCCAGATGTTTAAGTGACCAATTGGGGTAGTATACTGGAATGCTTTACATGGCTTAGATTGCAGGAGAGATGACGTATTGTACCTCAAAAATAAGCAGCAAGAGCAAGTTAGTCCAGATCTTTTCACCAGCACTAAATTCACTTATGAAAAAATGTTTTTGAACAATTGTATAAAGCCCTGAAGTGGCATCTAGAATCTCTTACGTTCCAATATATATGAAGAATTCTATTTTTATTTAGTGGGCCAATCCTAACTGTGTTCATATATGAGTAATGGACTTATGATCCCCTCTAGATTTAGTTACAGATCTGAGGAACTTACATACAGCAAAGGTCAGACACACTGGTGTGGTGGGAAATAATGTTGTTTCCACACACACTAGTTCCCAATAAATCTGTTGTCACAAGGAAAGTATCACAAAACTATTTTTTAAATTGGTTAGGTACAGGGATGCTGGAACAATTTGTATAGTAGGGATGCTGAGAGCCATTGAACCAACTGTAAACCCTGTATGTGATGGAAACCACTTCAATCCAGGGGGTGTAATAGCACCCCCAGCGCCCCAAGTTTCAGCACCTATGGTTAGGCATGCAATTTTATATAAGTAGTTCTCATGGTTGTGCTAAAAAACCAGGTACTGTTGGGCACAGTTATCTGATCTGCATGGACAAACAGTAATTTTAGTTTGCCTAGACATATTAAAATCAGACCTCAAATGTTCATTTGACTGATTGCTTAGTTAGGATATTGAAAGGGAATTGATTGGCAGAGGTGGGTTGGGTGTTGTTTGCTTTGTAGACTTTTTTAAATCCATAATTAGACTTTTCTTTTTTTTAAAAAAAAGGCAGTGTTCAAATACATTTCATTTGTATTAACTGAAACTACATTACCTTGGGTTTGATTGTTCATTCCTAATGCTGGCAAAATGCTCATTGATATGAGAATTTTGCATGGGTAATACACTGGGTAAAACTGCAGGATTGGGTCCACTGCATCTTTTAAAAGTGTACTGTAATTTTCATGTGGCATTGACTGTTATCCTCACCTTTGTGATAAACAGGGGCCAGAATTTGGAAAGAGCAATTCACAATATGTACGTAAAACGGAATCTTGTAATAGCGTTCTGGAGAGATTTCTTGAGGAATAAGGAAAGTTCAAAGAAAACATTACTGTTCTCTTTGGAAACTTTTTTTTATTCAAGGTTTTTTACATATTATGTAAAATCAAAACCTGCTGTATTGTATAAACTATGACAAACAGTTGGCAAGTTCATTAGAATTTCCCACATGCTCTTGGTCCTTTCTATTGAAATACTGGTGTTTTGCTTCGTTCTTCTTGGAGGCTATACACTCACTACATGCCTGGCTACCTTATACCAGTTCTGATTAGCACTCTCCTCACTTTAATCTGGTTATGTTTCTCTGCAGATCCAGTCTACTGTGGGCCAGGGAAGGGTACATTTCAGATTTATGGTGCAGCCTGCAGGGAGAGTGAATGCTACTTAATGAGCGTGAATTGTACAAATGTAGAACAGTGAACAATGAGCCCCTCGGCTGGAAGCAGAATCAAAAACTTGGGCAAGCTTTAACATTTATACAACAAATCACCGGGGTATGCACGAGTGTTCATTTTTCACTGGAGAACACCAGTGAAACTAATGTTGTGATTGCTTATCTTGTCATCACTCATCATTATTTCAAATACCTCCTTGCCCTTTGTTTACTTCGAGAGAGACTTTTTGTTGAATATTCCACCTCTCTAGTCCTAAAGGAGCTTCATTTTGCTCCATAAAAGCGTCATTTTGCTCTCCGGAAAGATATGCTTTTCCATCATTCGCATCTAAAGGAATGCGTTCAATCCTTTAAAGAGATAGTCTCCGCTAAAAATCAATAGCCAACATTGTCTTTAAATAGTCTGACATTTACCTTTAACATGGCTTTCATTTCTTCTCCTGGTTGAGCAAACGTTTGTATTATCCATCCACATTTTTTATTTCTCTGCCTTCAGCTATTGCTTGAGTACTCGTCAAGATCACAATTCTTGTGTCAGTGACATCGGCTATCTATAGAAAGCGTTGTAGCAATATACGTTAAAGGGACTGGAACTCACTAACAGAAGCATTGTTCACTAATTTACAGAAGGCATCAAGTCAGAATAATTACAGGCAAAAGGGTAGTGTAAATCCCTAGGGGAAATATATTTTGGATGCTTGTTTTACTTACAAGCAAATCTGAATGCTGGCCCAAAGGTCAAAAATAAAAGACCATGTGCTTTATTCCTCTCAAGTCATCCGCCTTCCTTTCTCTTCTCATACATGAAATTGTCTAGGGGTTCATTTAGAAAACTGTATTTTGAGAGCCGGGCTGTTTGCAATCTGGAAAAGTTAAGCAAATTAGCAGAATTATTAGGAAAAGAGCCAATTCTCTACAGCCTGCAAAGCAACCGTTTGTTAAATTGGCTGTCATGAGAGAATTGCATTGATCGAATGATGGTTGCAGTGCTTTGGGAGGGAGAGCTATGCAGGCCTTTTTGGAAATAATGTTGCTGTATCATAAATGAAAAATAAACAGGGAGTCTGTAGATTCCACAGCAAAACTTTCAGTGATTTCTTGGAATGAGAGAATTAAAACGTGGTTCTGCTCTGCACACACATTCCTTTTATGTCTGCACCTCGGGGGGGGGGGGGGGCTGTGCTATGTGTTTCTAAAAATAGAAAGGGTGGCAGGAGGGCTGACTTCAAGAATCACCTCAAACCAGGTGGCTGGTTACACCTGTTTCCCCTGTGACATCGTGAGGACATCTGCAATTCTGCTAGCTCACCCTCCTAGCTCAACTTCTGAGTTGAGTTTTTTTGGAAACAGAAATCTGAATCCAGTAAAAAGCCATTTAAAGAGATTGCTCTCGCACTGTTTCTAATAGCTCATCCTCATTTTTATATACCATTTTGCTATTGATTTGATATTTTTATACATTATAAGGGGCACTTAGCAAAGAGAGAATGGATTAGCAGATTAAATATGCTTTATTAGCGGATATCTGTTGGGAAATTATGTCCGTTTTCCATTTAAAAGATGCATCAGATTTATTCAGTTATTGAATCAATTTATTCATGCTTGAAAACCTACTAACACTCCACTTAACTATTTCCAATGTCAGGTTTAATACTGGAGAACTGGGCTTAAGGAGAAAAGCTAAAGAAATGAAGAAAATGTACAGGAGGGCAGTACTTTGCATTTCTACCGCAGATGGGGAATTAAGCATGTTATATATGTCACGATAAGTAAAGCGAGGGTAGGAACTCTGGGCTTGATTCTGATATCTCTGACATCAGTGTAAATTAAGTGTTACTGTACCGAAATCAGTGGAACATGTAGCACTGTCGCAAATGAGATGGGAAGCAGGCTGTCTTTTTTCCAGGCACAGCCTGACTTTTCAGAAATGCTGGAAACGCTCAACTCCAGCTGAAGTCAAATTATGGGTGCAGAGCACTTCTTAAGGTATGGGCCAATTCCCCATTAATTGCACAGTGTAATATGACAAAATTTCAAATCTACACAT